CTCCCATACCTCTACCTTGGAGGTTTTGAATATTAATCCTTCTAAGAGGATAGTTTTTTCCTCTACTCTGAAATATCAGACATCAAAACTTTACATTTCTTTACACATATCTTTCTTTTTTAACCTTTATTGTATTGTTTTCCATTATCATATAGTCCCTTTAATATACCCCTGCCCCCCACAAATATCTTTCAATAATTTTTTAAAATTTATTTTATTTGGTACTGCTATAATTTGAACCATTCCTATTTCCAATTGAAATTGGAGATTTATTTATCCCAATTCTTAGTCTGATAAATTTTCATGTTAACGTTGTATTTTGCCATCCTTTTCCTTTGCTCTGAAGATTCTTGGATAATAATGAGGCACCTCTCTTATTATTGTGGCCTTGTTAGATGTCAGATCACTTTAAAAATTTGGACCTAGTTTAGTGAGCAGCAGCATCTGCTAAATAAAGCTCTGTCACTGTTTTGTGGGTTTCTTTCAATGAATTGCATAACTTGCTTCAGATCACTTTATTCTAGGCATATTAATTTAACATTTTTGAGTTGGGATTGATTTTGTTTTCATTAGCTTGTCCTCAGGTAAGAATTCTTCCATAAACAATTAGAAACCAAAATAGTTTCTGTTCCCAGTTATCTGTTTGTTTTTTGGCTATATAAAAGCAAGATCGATTGAATATATATCATGTGGTTGGATGAAGACTCTATTATGTGTAACTGTATAATATAGGTAAGGTCAATCTGAGCAAGTATAATATATTGAACTTTCCAAGCATCTATTCTTGATTGTCCCAGAGATTCATCGTGAGGCCTTAAACAAATCACTTTAGTCGTTCCCTGTGAAAATTAATGTGTTGTCCTTGAATACAAAGATGAAGGTTCTGACGCATACTCAGCAAAGCATTATCTTTTGTAAAGTTGATAGATTTGTTCTGAGCCAAACACGGTTTCTCTGGGGTCATTCAACAGCTCATGTTTGCTAAGTTTGGAGGTGCAGTTCATGGCCACCTGAGCTAAAAAGGAATTAAAACTATCAATTTTATCTCATTACCATACTGCTGAACCAGATGATCACAACAAGTCAGTTATTAAATTGCTGAGAAAGAAATAAAAAAGAGACAATAAATACATATGTGCGCTAAGGTTGGCTATAAAATACATCAGTTTGTTATTGGAGAAATCAAGGGCTTTGCCAAGGCTTATCTGAATAACTTTCTATCTCTATCTCCAGAGGAGTCAAAAAGATGAGATTTTTCTCCTAAGATCATGATCCTGGAGACAGCTTTTCTCTGCTAGTTTCTCTGCAATATTCTACATTCATAGTGTCCAATACAAAACTGTTGAGGCACACCATTAATATTTACCAAGGTGTAAGAATATCTTGGGATAAAAGTTTAATATTTACAATTTATCTCACATGTATATAAACAAACTTTAATGAATTTATGTCATGACAACTTTTTCTAGCTCTTCTCTTTTTTCCAACTTTTATTTAAGGAATGCCCTGGCTGGTGTGGCCCAGAGGACTGAGTGCTGGCCTGTGAACCAAAGGGTCAACCATTCAATTCCCAGTCTAGGGCACATGGCTGGGTTATGGGACAGGTCCCCAGTACAGGGTGGGTGAGAGGCAACCACACATTGCTGTTTCTGTTCCTCTCTTTCTCCCTCCCTTCTCTCTAAAAATAAATAAATAAAATCTTTTAAAAAATAGAAAGAAATCCCTCTGGTGTAGTAATTAAGAATTGGACTAGGTAATCCAATCTCCTAGGTTCAAAACTCTACTTTCAAATCTCTATGTGACTTTGGGCAAATTACTTAACCTCTATAGGCCCTGGTTTCCTCATTTATCAAATGAAGATAATACCTACTTTCACATAGGTGTATTATGAGGATTAAACTCCATTCATATATTAGACAAAAAAAAATCCCACTTAATTCACCTAAATTTAATTTTCCTTACATTCTCTTGATTCCAGATAGACTGATTATTCTCTTTAAAATCTATTAGTAGCTTTGAGAGGGGTTCTATTTTGCAGAACTCATTTTGAAGATAGGGCCATACCACCCTCATTTGCTTTATATGCAGAATAAAAATCAGCTCTCTCTCACTTGAAGGAAGTGAGGATAAATTTTATCAATCTATTTTTTAAATTTATTTATTTTTAGAGAGAGAGGGAGAGAAAGAGGGAGAGAAACTTTGATGTGCAAGATACAGCAATCTGTTGCCTCTTGCACGCCTCCAACTGGGGACCTGGCCTTTAACCCAGGCATGTACCCTGACTGGGAATGGAGCTGGTGACCTTTCAGTTTGCAGGCCAGCACTCAATCTGATGAACTACACCAGCCAGGATGAATTTTATCAATCTTTAAAAGTTTTCTTTTTTTTCTTCTTTATTTTTTTAAATCCTCACTTGAGGACATGCTTATTGAGAGAGAGGAAGGGAGGGAGAGAGAGAGGGTGAGAAACATCGATGTGAGAGGGAAGCATGGATTGGTGGCCTCGTACATGCACCCTGCAACCCTTTGGTTTATGGGATAACCCTCCACCCAACTGAGCCACACAGACCAGGGCAAAATGTTTTTTTTTAATGTATACAAAAATATAACATATAAGGCTTAATAATATAATGAAATACCCAACTTAAGGGCAAGGACATTTCCCAGTAACTTGCGGCAACTTTTGTGTTTCTCCTTTATCTCTTCCTCCTGCCCTCAGAGGTAACCAATACCCTACATTTTGTGATTATCATTCTATTGATGTCTTATTTATAAAATTTAGGTTTATGACAAATGTACATATGCTAAAACAATATGTTGCTTAATTTGTGTTTTTTAAAACTAACTTATTTTTATTTTTTAAAATTATTTTTAGAGAAAGGGAAAGGGAGGGAGAAAGAGAGGGAGAGAAACGTCAATGTATAAGAGATGCATGTATAGATCGGTTGCCTCTCTCACACCCCCAAATGGGGGCCTGGACCACAACCCAGGCATATCCCTGACTGGGAATTGAACTGGTGACCTCTTGGTTTGCAGGCTGGCACTCAATCCACAGAGCCATACCAGCCAGGGCTGCATTAAAAATTCTTTTTTTTTTTAAGATTTTATTTATGTATTTTTAGAGAGAGGGGAAGGGAAGAAGAAAGAAAAAGAAAGAAACATTCAGTGTGTGGTTGCCTCTCATGCACCCCAAACTGGGGAAGTGGCCTGCAACCGAGGCATGTGCTCCGACTGAGAATTGAACCAGCAACCATTCGGCTCCAGGCCTGTGCTCAATTCACTGAGCCACACCAGCCTGGGCTGCATTAAAAATTCTTATGTGTGCCTCCTGGTCATACATGCCAGTGTTTCTCTTGGTTATATACCTAGGAGTAGGATTGCTGGTTTGTGGAGTATGAGCATATTCAACTTTGTGAGATAATTAATGCCAAATCTTTTCCTACTCTTCCACAGTTCATAAGAATTCCACTTACTCCTCAATTATTTGTTACTTTTACATTTAATTTTTGCCAGTCTAGTGGGAGTACAATGTTATATACCTATTTTTTTATAGAATGGAAGAGTCATCTTTATCTAAAGCTTTTAAAACTTTCTCTTTCTTTCTATATTAAGAGTTTGCTACCTGATTTGACATTACTGTGCTAGGGATTCTGTTAAGAGGAAACCATTTATTTGTGTGGTAGTTTATGCTAAGGGTATAAAAGCTGAGATGGAGTACTTGGTAGAGACTGCTAACTGGATTGTTTGAAAGTTGCTTTTAAGTTGGTCTTATATAAAAACCAAATTATACACAGTTAAAAATTTATTTTTAATACTCTACAGAAATGGAAATGTGTTAAATTATATTGTTTGCTATTGGCCCATTGCAAATTAATCTGGTCTTGAGTTTATACCTATCTGTAAAACTAGTTTAAATAAAAGTTTTCTTCAGTCTTGTGATCTGGAATATTTTTACTAAATCAAGTTTAGTAAAGCTATCTTTATATATTTTCTTGTATTTTAATTGTATCAAAGAGATTCAACTTAACCTCTCCTGACACAGTTATATGAGCCAACACAAATTAGTGTCTCAAAAAAATTACAAAACTCCAAATGTTCATCTCACTACTGTTAGCCACTGAATTGATACACACATTGACTAGGAAAATAAACCCAAACAGATGGTACTACTACATTGTACCTACAGACGTGTGGGTTTTTTTTTTAAGATTTTATTTATTTATTTTTAGAGAGGGAAGGGAGGGAGGGAGGGAGAGAGAGAGAGAGAAACATCAATGTGCGGTTGCTGGGGGTCATGGCCTGCAACCCAGGCATGTGCCCTGGCTGGGAATCGAACCTGCGACACTTTGGTTTGCAGCCCATGCTCAATCCACTGAGTTACGCCAGCCAGGGTATGTGTGGGGTTTTTTAAAATTGAAAAAGCCATCTTGTATATAATGGTTTTCATCAATAAGTAAAAACACTTGGAGATGGAAAAAGAGAAACCAAGATAAATGGCTATATATATATTTTTTAAAGAAGAACTTTGATAGCTCCTAGTGTTTATTGTCTTTAAAAACAAACACTAGGTTGTCATTTGTTTATTTATTTTTTTTTGCCTTTGAATGAAAGATTTTTGAAGGAAGGAGCTGTGTATTTGTTTTATGTTTCTTTATTATATTGTTAAGTATAGTGTCATATCCCAGGGGGGAACTCAGAGATATGAATTGAGTGCAAAAGTCTCCTTTGTACCATCGATATTTGTTGACTGACAAAATGACTGAGTGAATATTCATGACCAAAGCATGAGAAAGCTGTAGTTTACTTTCTTTATGGTCTGTAGTTATTATTGGAAATAATCATTCATCATGGTGAATATATTTATGCCAAGTGAGTGCTTTTCAACTTTATTTATATAGCTAAAACTGTGTTTAGTAAAGTTGCTATCAGTGTTTGGTTTCTTTTTATGTTTTCTTTTCAAGCCATGTGTTAATTCTCATTTCCTCATTCCCATAATGCCAGATATTCACCTCTGTACTGATCAAGGAGCTGCTGAAGGAAGACTGACTCCTGCAAAGCTCCCTTCAAGTGGGGTCTTTTTCTTTCTCTATCATGCAGTGTAAGTAAGCTTTTTGTTGTTTGCTTGCTTTTGTTATTTTGTAAGTGGTTGTCCATAAGATAAGAGGTTAAGTCTTTACTTCTCACATGGATTGCAACATGACAACATCCTCACCATAGTAGGCAGCCTCCAAAAAGGCCCTTAGTGATTTCTGCCTTCTGGTATTACTACACTTTTATATAGTCCTCTCCCACATTGTATAAGGAATGATCTGTATGACCAGCAGAATATGGCAGAAGTAGAGGTATGTCACTTGCAAGATTAGGTTTTGAAAGACTTCAAGGACACAGAAACCACAGGTCAGATTGGAACCCGAACTAGTTTTATTTTTTTAAGATTTTATTTATTTATTTTTAGAGAGGGAAGGGAGGGAAAAAGAGATAGAGAGAGAAACATCAATGTGTGGTTGCTGGGGGCCGTGGCCTGCAACCCAGGTATGTGGCCTGACTGGGAATTGAACCTGCAACACTTTGGTTCACAGCCTGCGCTCAATCCACTGAGCTACGCCAGCCAGGGCTCAACTAGTTTAAAGGGAACTGTTTCTGAGGTTGTGAAGTGCTAACCTCAATCCCGAGCCAAGAAGGTCTGGGTCTTTCATAGATCTAGAAAAAGTCAGAGAGGGAAAAACCTAGATATGTAAATAGAAATAAGTAGGAATTTCACTAAATGATAGTGGAAAAAAAGAGAGCACCTAATAAAAAGACATGCTGATATATGATCTAACATGGTCACACCTTAAAATATGCTAAGTGAAAGAAGCCAGTCACAAAAGACAAGATAATGTATGATTCCACTTATATGTAATGATCATAATTAGCAAATCTATAGAGACAGAAAGTACATTGACAGTTGCCTAGGGCTGGAGAGTTGGGGGTGGGATGGGTGTGATGGCTTAGTTCAGGATTTCTTTGGAAGTAATAAAAATGTTCTAAGACTGATTGTGGTGATGGTTGCAAAACTCTGTAAATATACTAAAGCCATTGAATTATATACTTTGAAATGGCGAATTGTATGGTTTATGAATTATAGCTCAATAAGGCTGTTTAGAAAAAGACTGTGGCTTCTATCTTGGACTTTCTCTCTCTTCTATGACTTGTTCTGGAAGAAATCAGTTGCCGTGTCTCAAGGACATTCAGACAACTTAACTATGGAAAGACTTATGTGGCAAAGAACTAAGGTTTTCAGCTAACAGTCAGTGAGGAACTGAAGCCTGCCAAATAAAATAACCTTGTCAATGATCTTTGCTAATCCTGTATAGGTGGAAAGTGGTGTCTAATGAAGTTTTAATTTGCACTTTCCTATTAAGAGTGATACTAGGTATATTTAATATGTTTAAAGGCATTTGTAGGAGAATAAGAGTTAAAAACATGAATGCCATATTCAGTGATGTGAGGAAACATCTTTAAATCCAAAGCATCAAATATGAAAGTTAAAAGTGGATGGAGAACTAACAAGTGACTTAAGTTAGAGAAAGGTAAAAACCTAGGTACTGCAGAGGAGGAGGACACCAGCAATAAGCACACAGATTTGTCCCATGGAACCTCAGAAAGCCACGGGAATTAGAGTGGTAAAGAATATGTGCAGGGGGAGAAGGGGCTGAACAGGGGTGGATTATTTAAAAGCCTGTATAAGGATCAGGGAGAACCCAAATCCTCACCCTCCACTGCCACTCCAAGTAGTCAGATGCTTTCTTCTTCACCATACAGGAGGTGGGGGCCGGGGTGGGGTGTCTTCTCTGAAGAAATTGAACTAGAGAACCTCTGAATTAGGTTATATCAGTCTCTGAAGAATGAGTATGAAAATAAAGGTATGGGATGAAAACATTAAAGTCTGTATTCTAAATAGAACTCACAGTCCTCTTCCCTACTCCGCTTCAGAAAGCTAGCAACCAGACTCCTGCTACTTCCAGACAAGAAGTAAGAGGATAGTTCTGTGGAAAACTGAACTGATGTAAGGAAAATATCATTTTTCTACTTTAATTAAAAAAAACCAGCTTCATGGTATAATAGAATTCATAACATATCCAGAATACAACCACCTCTCCTCACCTTCCCTTACTACCATTCTGGTGCTAGCCCCATCATTCCTTACTTGGACTATTGTAGCATTTCCCTATCTAGTCACCTGTTTTTCTACCTTTATCCCTGGAGAATTACCTCAACTTAACAGTCAGAAGAATCTTTTTATAATGGAGGCCAGATCTTTTCACTTTCCTATTCAAAACCTTCTAGTGATTACAGGTTTCAGTCAGAATAAAAAGAAGTCCTTACCATAGCCTACAGGGGCATACGTGGTGTGTCCTCTCTGACCTCTGCCTCTCTGACCTTGTGTTCTTCTAGTCTCCATTTTGCTCACTCTACTCTAGCTATGTTGGCATTTTTGAAAAATGCTAGGCTCTCTCCCACTTCTGGGCCTTTGCATTTGCTCTTCTCTCTACCCAGAACCCTCTTTCCTATATATTCTCTTGGCTAATCCCCTCACTTCCTTTAGGTCTTGATCAAATGTAATTTTTTTAAGATTTTATTTATTTGTTTTTAGAGAGGAAAGGGAGGGAGAAAGAGAGAGAGAGAGAAACATCAATGTGTGGTTGCTGGAGGTTGTGGCCTGCAACCCAGGCATGTACCCTGACTGGGAATTGAACCTGCGACACTTTGGTTCACAGCTCGCACTCAATCCACTGAGCTACGCCAGCCAGGGCAAATGTAATCTTAACAGAGACACCTTCCCTGGTTACCCTATATTAAATAGTACCCTTACAATTATTGCTCCCTTTATTTTTCCATAACATATAATTCCAAATATTAGATATTTATTTGCTTAATTGTTTATTACTTTTCAGCCTTGACTAAAATATAAGCTCTTTAGGACAGAGACTTTCTCCATTTTTGTTGACTGCCATATTCCCAGAACCTAGCATAGAACCTGGTACATAGTAGGTGCATAATGAAAATCTGTTGGCTGAAGGAATCAATCAATAAATCACTGAAAAATGATGGTAACATATTTCTTCTCTTTTGATTTTTTAAATGGTTAGTTATTACAATAAACTTTTTAATGTTGAACTATCCTTGCATTCCTGATGTGATTGCATTTAATCTGCTGGTAGATTCTTTTAAATTGGTGCTGAATTTTATTTGCTAGTATTATTTCCTCAGCAGCTTTTCTGTATTTGTGGTACCTTTACTGGATTTTCTTCTAAATCTGCTTTGGATTGAAAAAAAGGAGCATGGTTTTGTTTTGTTTTGTTTTGCTTTGTTTTGTTTTTCATTCTTTAAGGCAGCCTAAATTTTAACTTGCTTAGCAGAAAAGAGAAGAGTTCGTTTTAATTTAAAGAAGTAGGATTATTTCAGCTCAAATTTTTCTCCAGTGTCTGATGCTGAGGTTCTTGTCAAATCCCACTTGCTGATCATATCCATCAAAGGTAGTGGAAAATGCTCTGAAAAGATGTTTATATCCTTCAGAGGATTCTGACCTCATTTACTTGGTTAGAAATAGTCTTTCTAGGATCCTTACATTTCCCTTTGTTACATGCTCTCTCTGGGATGAAGTTTTGGGAGAAGGACCTCTGGTCTGAACCTTGACCTTCTCTTAGAGCAAGAGTGTCAATCTCACTTTCGCTGGGGGCCACATCAGCCTCACGGTTGCCCTCAAAGGGCCAAATGTAATTTTAGGACTGTATAAATGTAACTACTCCTTAACTAGGGGCAAGAAGCTCAGCGCTGCCTCAGGGTAGAAACAAGGTACTGGGCTGGATAAAACAAGGTGGAGGGCTAGATTTGGCCCGCAGGCCTTGTGTTTGCCACCTGTGTCTTGGAGTGTTGACCATAATTTAACTTTTAGTTGATGACTCAGGATAATTATTAGGAACAGTAGTTATATGTACCATAACAATGATATCCTCATTGGCTGTTCCAGTAGGTGTGTGTGTTTTCCATACCTTTAAAGAGCCTTGTGCATTTTGTTATTTTGTCAGCATTCTCATTTTTGCTGCCCTCTATTCTGAACTTTTCTCTTAGAAATAAACATTTTTACTTGTTCCTTTTAATTTCCCATGAGTTTAAAAAATAGCAACATACTGGTTAAAATTGTGCTAAGATAAAAATCAGTAAGCCTTGAGCTGAGAGAATTCCCTATGACATAATGAAAGACATTAAAAACTTTTGACATCTTGTGTGGATGTTCAAAGTTTTTTTCTTTTTGGTTTATTATTCTATTCTAGATTATCTAGTACACTATTTGATAATTAGAAAGGCAATATAGAGCTTCCTAGGTTCAAATCATGACTAACTCTGGGCTTTTGGGTAAGAATCATAACTTTTCTGTGCCTTAGCAAAATGAGAATAATAACTATATTTACTTCATAGGGTTGGTATAAGGCATAAATGGTTTAATACATGGAAAACATTTAGAATGATGCCTAGAACATATTAGTACTCAATTTTGACTTTTGTTATTATTACGATAGTCCCAGAGTATTGTTCCTTGATGTTCTTTAAGTGCATGGTGAACATAGACGAAGATGATTGAGGCCATATTTAAATCTCCTTGTATCTTTTTTTTTTTTAAATAGGCATTTTTTTTAAGATTTTATTTATTTATTTTTAGAGAGGGAAGGGAGGGAGGGAGAGAGAGAGAGAGAGAGAGAGAGAGAGAGAGAGAGAGAGAGAAACATCAATGTGCGGTTGCTGGGGGTTATGGCCTGCAACCCAGGCATGTACCCTGGCTGGGAATCGAACCTGGGACACTTTGGTTCCCAGCCCGCGCTCCATCCACTGAGCTATGCCAGCCAGGGCTTCAGAATCTCCTTGTATCTTATGTTCAGTATTATTATTTTCCTATCTTTTAAGTAGGGAGATTGAGTCATAGAGAAAGAAAGTGGTTTTCTCAACTACACAAAACTGTTAAGGAACCATGCGTAAGACACTATGCCATTGAACTTTTTTCACAGATCAGTTTTTGATATTATATGATTATTGAAATACAATGAAAACATGGGTTTC